GTGAGTGAGTGAGTGGGTGAGTGAGTGAGTGGGTGAGTGATGAGTGTGTCAGTGGGTGAGTGGGTGGGTGAGTGGGTGGGTGAGTGCGTGGGTGAGTGAGTGGGTGGGTGAGTGGGTGAGTGATGAGTGGGTCGGTGAGTGAGTGAGTGGGTTAGTGGGTGGGTGAGTGAGTGGGTGAGTGAGTGAGTGGGTGAGTGAGTGAGTGAGTGTGTGGGTGGGTGAGTGGGTGGGTGGGTGAGTGAGTGGGTGAGTGGGTGATTGAGTGTGTGGGTGGGTGGGTGTGTGTGTGAGAGTGGATGAGTGGGTGAGGGTGTAAGTGGGTGGGTAAGTGAGCGTGGGTGTGGTAGTGAGGGTGGGTGAGCGGGTGAGTGAATGGGTGGGTGTGTGCGTGGGTGGGTGTGTGGGTGGGTGGGTGTGTGGGTGTATGAGAGGGTGAGTGTGTGAGTGAGTGGGGGTGTGGTAGTGAAAGTGGGTAAGTAAGTTGGTGAGTGGGTGAGTGAGTGGATGAGTGAGCGTGGGTCTGGTAGTGAAAGTGTGTGGGTGGGTGAGTGATTGAGTGTGTGGGTGTGTGAGTGCGTTTGTGAGTGGGTGAGTGAGCGTGGGTGTGGTAGTGAGGGTGGGTGGGTGTGGTAGTGAGGGAGGGTGAGCGGGTGAGTGAATGGGTGGGTGTGTGCGTGGGTGGGTGTGTGGGTGATTGAGTGTGTGGGTGGGTGGGTGTGTGAGAGGGTGAGTGTGTGAGTGAGTGGGGGTGTGGTAGTGAAAGTGGGTAAGTAAGTTGGTGAGTGGGTGGGTGAGTGAGCGTGGGTGTGGTAGTGAGGGTGGGTTGTGGTAGTGAGGGTGGGTGAGCGGGTGAGTGAATGGGTGGGTGAGCGGGTGAGTGAGCGTGGGTGTGGTAGTGAGGGTGAGTGAGTGTGTGGGTGAGTGAGTGTGTGGGTGAGTGGGGGTGTGGTAGTGAAAGTGGGTAACAATCATTACGCAGAATCACGGAAAGAATCACACACAACCCTTGTGCTTCAATCAATTTTATTTCCCAGCTAAACTTAAATTCTTTGATTGACATGACAACTCTCAATCTCGGAATTTCAACACGGCATCAATGCGGTTTCACATCACCATCGCCTTGTTTCACTCGGATAGCGGCACCCGTGGCCTATTACCGGCACAGATTAAAACACGCGGAACTATTCTACCAAACCCTTAAACGCAAATTCGCACGCTTGAATCGTCGCACAACGCATGCACTCCGTCGTTGATCATTCGCGACCCTCGATGCGCATCCTCGTCACGCCGTTAGCCAACTCTTGATCATCCCCGGCACGTGTTTATCCGCCTGGCCTCTTCCTCCTCCTCGTCCTCGTCCTCCTCCTCCTCCTCCTCGTCCTCGTCCTCCTCCTCCTCCACCTCCTCCTCCCTCCTCCTCCCCCCCTCCTCCTCCTCCTCCACCTCCTCCTCCTCCTCCTCCTCCTCCTCGTCCTCCTCCTCCTCCACCACCTCCTCCTCCTCCACCTCCTCCTCCTCCCTCCTCCTCCTCCTGCTCCTCCTCCTCCTCCTCCACCTCCTCATCCTCCTCCTCCCTCCTCCTCCTCCCCCCTCCTCCTCCTCCACCTCCTCCTCCCTCCTCCTCCTCCCTCCTCCTCCTCCTCCCCCCTCCTCCTCCTCCACCTCCTCCTCCTCCCCCCCCCCCCTCCTCCTCCTCCCATCGCCGGGTTCGGCTCTCGGCCTCCAAGCCAAGGACGCCAAAGGTCGGCCATCCCTCGTGTCAAAAAATTTAAAAAATGTTTTTTTTTGGGGGGGGGGGGTGGTGTACCACCGCCGGGCGGCGTTGAGCCCCGGGGGGGCCCCGCGCGCCCGCGATGATTTTGAGCTCCCTCGCTGCGGGGGGGGGGGGGGGGGGGGGTGGATGCGGACGCGAGAGTTTTTGGGGGGGCGGGCGCGTCGCCTCTCGGCTCTGAACTACGCTCGTTGATGCATCGCGGCTCGGCCAGGAGGCGGTGGAGGCGGTGGAGGCGGTGGAGGCGGTGGAGGCGGTGGAGGCGGTGGGCGGGGTCGTCGGTCGTCGTTCTCCCGTCGAACTTCTGGGGCCCCCGTTGATCCGCCTTGACTTGGGCCCTTTGGAATGCGCTCGGCCGTTGTGTTCGAAAGTGATTCTCGGTGAACGTGTTGGGGTGTATGCGTGGTGGCCTGTGTAAGTGTGTGTGTGTAAGTGTGTGTGTAAGTGTGTGTGTGTGTACGTGTGTGTGTAAGTGTGTGTGTGTGGCATTCCACGATACATCTGCGTTATACGATGCTGGGGGAGGAGGAGGAGGAGGAGGGGTAGACCCTCGTTCCCTTGACTGGTTTCGTGGTTGTTTATTACTCATCCGCTGGATTTTCTGGTTCAATGGCCCTGTTGCGATGGGCATCTGGTTTTCTGTGCTCCGGCGTGTGCGGCAAATTATTTATTTATTTTTCGGCACTTGAAAAAATTATTAATGATATGTATAAAACAGCGAATATTCTTGTTAATATCAATTTTGGAAAAGCCTTATATATGCAATGTGTGTGTGTCTGTATGTCTGTGTGTGTCTGTATGTCTGTGTGTCTGTGTGTGTGTCTGTGTGTGTGTGTGTATGTCTGTGTGTGTGTGTGTCTGTGTATCTGTGTGTGTGTGTGTATGTCTGTGTGTGTGGGTGACTGTGTGTGTGTATGTCTGTGTGTGTGTGTGAGTGACTGTGTGTGTGAGTGACTGTGTGTGTGTGTGTCTCTGTGTGTGAGTGACTGTGTGTGTGTATGTCTGTGTGTGTGTGACTGTGTGTGTGTATGTCTGTGTGTGTGTGTGTGTCTGTGTGTGTGTGTGTGTCTGTGTGTGTGAGTGACTGTGTGTGTGTGTCTGTGTGTGTGAGTGACTGTGTGTGTGACTGTGTGTGTGTGTGTGACTGTGTCTGTGTGTGTATCTGACTGTGTGTGACTGTGTGTGTGAGTGACTGTGTGTGTGTGTGACTGTGTGTGTGTGTGTGACTGTGTCTGTGTGTGTATCTGACTGTGTGTGACTGTGTGTGTGTGTGACTGTATGTGTGTGTGTGACTGTGTGTGTGACTGTGTGTGTGTGTGACTGTGTATGTGTGTGTGTGTGAGTGACTGTGTGTGTGTGATTGTGTGTGTGACTGTGTGTGTGTCTGTGTGTGTGTCTGTGTGTGTGTGTGACTGTATGTGTGTGTCTGTGTGTGTGTGTGTGACTGTGTCTGTGTGTGTATCTGACTGTGTGTGTCTGTGTGTGTGTGTCTGTGTGTGTGAGTGACTGTGTGTGTCTGTGTGTGTGTCTGTATGTCTGTGTGTGTGTGTGTCTGTGTGTATGTCTGTGTGTGTGTATGTCTGTGTGTCTGTATGTCTGTGTGTGTGTGTGTGTCTGTGTATCTGTGTGTGTGTGTGTGTATGTCTGTGTGTGTGGGTGACTGTGTGTGTGTATGTCTGTGTGTGTGAGTGACTGTGTGTGTGAGTGACTGTGTGTGTGTGTGTGTCTCTGTGTGTGAGTGACTGTGTGTGTGTATGTCTGTGTGTGTGTGACTGTGTGTGTGTATGTCTGTGTGTGTGTATGTCTGTGTGTCTGTATGTCTGTGTGTGTCTGTGTGTGTGTGTGTCTGTGTATCTGTGTGTGTGTGTGTATGTCTGTGTGTGTGGGTGACTGTGTGTGTGTATGTCTGTGTGCGTGTGTGTGAGTGACTGTGTGTGTGAGTGACTGTGTGTGTGTGTCTCTGTGTGAGTGACTGTGTGTGTGTATGTCTGTGTGTGTGTGACTGTGTGTGTGTATGTCTGTGTGTGTGTGTCTGTGTGTGTGTGTGTCTGTGTGTGTGAGTGACTGTGTGTGTGTGTGACTGTGTGTGTGTGTGACTGTGTCTGTGTGTGTATCTGACTGTGTGTGACTGTGTGTGTGAGTGACTGTGTGTGTGAGTGACTGTGTGTGTGTGTGTCTCTGTGTGTGAGTGACTGTGTGTGTGTATGTCTGTGTGTGTGTGACTGTGTGTGTGTATGTCTGTGTGTGTGTGTCTGTGTGTGTGAGTGACTGTGTGTGTGAGTGACTGTGTGTGTGTGTGTCTCTGTGTGAGTGACTGTGTGTGTGTATGTCTGTGTGTGTGTGACTGTGTGTGTGTATGTCTGTGTGTGTGTATGTCTGTGTGTCTGTATGTCTGTGTGTGTCTGTGTGTGTGTGTGTGTCTGTGTATCTGTGTGTGTATGTCTGTGTGTGTGGGTGACTGTGTGTGTGTATGTCTGTGTGTGTGTGTGAGTGACTGTGTGTGTGAGTGACTGTGTGTGTGTGTGTCTCTGTGTGTGTGAGTGACTGTGTGTGTATGTCTGTGTGTGTGTGACTGTGTGTGTGTATCTCTGTGTGTGTGTGTGTGTCTGTGTGTGTGTGTGTCTGTGTGTGTGAGTGACTGTGTGTGTGTGTCTGTGTGTGTGAGTGACTGTGTGTGTGTGACTGTGTCTGTGTGTATCTGACTGTGTGTGACTGTGTGTGTGAGTGACTGTGTGTGTGTGTGTGTGACTGTGTGTGTGTGTGACTGTGTCTGTGTGTGTATCTGACTGTGTGTGACTGTGTGTGTGTGAGTGACTGTGTGTGTGTCTGTATGTCTGTGTGTGTGTGTCTGTGTGTGTGTGTGTCTGTGTGTGTATGTCTGTGTGTGTGTATGTCTGTGTGTCTGTATGTCTGTGTGTGTCTGTGTGTGTGTGTCTGTGTATCTGTGTGTGTGTGTGTGTATGTCTGTGTGTGTGGGTGACTGTGTGTGTGTGTATGTCTGTGTGTGTGTGTGAGTGACTGTGTGTGTGAGTGACTGTGTGTGTGTGTGTCTCTGTGTGTGAGTGACTGTGTGTGTGTATGTCTGTGTGTGTGTGACTGTGTGTGTGTATGTCTGTGTGTGTGTGTGTCTGTGTGTGTGTGTGTGTCTGTGTGTGTGAGTGACTGTGTGTGTGTCTCTGTGTGTGTGTGTGACTGTGTCTGTGTGTCTGTGTGACTGTATGTGACTGTGTGACTGTGTTTGTGTGTGTGTCTCTGTGTGTGTCCCAGGCTATGCGTTTCTGCTGTTCCACAACGAGAGCTCAGTGCTGGCTCTCCTCTCTGCCTGCGTCGAGGGGACCAATGAGAAGCTCTACCTCTGTGTGTCCAGTCCCACAGTCCACAGCAAAGCGGTACACACACACACGTACACACACACACATACACACAGACACACACGTACACACACACACACATATACACACACACGTACACACACAGACACACACACGTACACACACACACACATACACACACACACAGACACACACGTACACACACACACATATACACACACACGTACACACACAGACACACACATGTACACACACGTACACACACACAGACACAGTCACACACACACAGTCACTCGCACAGTCACTCACACACACAGTCACTCACACACACAGACATACACACACACAGTCACACACACACAGTCACACACACACACAGACACACACGTACACACACGTACACACACACACGTACACACACACACATACACACACACGTACACACACACACACGTACACACACATGTACACACACACGCACACGTACACACACACACAGACACACACACACGTACACACGTACACACACACGTACACACACACGTACACACACACACACACGTACACACACGTACATACACACGCACACACACATGTACACAGACACACATACATACACACAGACAGATACACACACGTACACACACACACACGTACACACACAGACACGTACACACACACACGTACGTACACACACGTACACACACGTACACACACACACACGTACACACACACACGTACACACACACACGTACACACACACGTACACACACACACGTACACACACACACACGTACACACACACGCACACACACACACACACGTACACACACACGTACACACACACACGTACACACGTACAGACACACACGTACACACACACATGTACACACACGCACACGTACACACACGTACACACACACGTACACACATGTACACACACACACGTACACACACGTACACACACGTACACGCACGTACACACACACACGTACACACACACACGTACACACACACGTACACACAGATACACACACGCACGTACACCACACGTACACACACACACACACGTACACACACACACGTACACACACACACGTACACACACGTACACACACACACGTACGCACACATACACAAGCACTCACCCACCCACCCACTCAGTCACTCATCCACCCATGCACTCACTCACCCACCCACTCACCCACCCACTCACTCACCCACCCACTCACTCATCCACCCACGCACTCACTCATTCACCCACTCACCCACCCACTCACTCATCCACCCACGCACTCACTCACTCACCCACCCACTCACTCATCCACCCACGCACTCACTCACTCACCCACCCACCCACTCACTCATCTACCCACGCACTCACCCTCCCACTCACGCACCCACTCACTCACTCATCCACCCACGCACTCACTCATCCACCCACGCACTCACTCACTCATCCACTCACCCACCCACTCACCCACCCACTCACTCATCCACCCACGCACTCACTCACCCACCCACTCACTCATCCACCCACGCACTCACTCGCCCACCTACCCACTCACTCATCTACCCACGCACTCACTCACCCTCCCACTCACTCACCCACCCACTCACTCACCCACCCACCCACTCACTCACCCACCCACTCACTCACCCACCCACCCACTCACTCATCCACCCACGCACTCACTCATCCACCCATGCACTCACTCATTCACCCACTCACCCACCCACTCACTCATCCACCCACGCACTCACTCACTCGCCCACCCACCCACTCACTCATCTACCCACGCACTCACTCACTCACCCTCCCACTCACTCATCCACCCACACACTCATTCACCCACCCACCCACCCACTCACTCATCCACCCACGCACTCACTCACCCACCCACGCACTCACTCACCCACCCACGCACTCACCCACCCACGCACTCACTCACCCACCCACGCACTCACTCACTCACCCACTTACCCACTCACTCATCTACCCACGCACTCACTCACCCACCCACTCACTCACCCACCCACCCACTCACTCATCTACCCACACACTCACTCACCCTCCCACTCACTCACCCACCCACGCACTCACTCACCCACCCACGCACTCACTCACCCACCCACGCACTCACTCATCCACCCACGCACTCACCCACCCACCCACTCACTCATCTACCCACGCACTCACTCACCCTCCCACTCACTCATCCACCCACGCACTCACTCACCCACCCACTCACTCATCCACCCACGCACTCACTCACCCACCCACTCACTCATCTACCCACGCACTCACTCACCCACCCACGCACTCACTCACCCACCCACGCACTCACTCACCCACCCACCCACCCACTCACTCACTCATCCACCCACGCACTCACTCACCCACCCACCCACCCACTCACTCATCTACCCACGCACTCACCCACCCACCCACTCACTCACTCATCCACCCACGCACTCACTCACCCACTCACCCACCCACCCACTCACTCATCTACCCACGCACTCACTCACCCTCCCACTCACTCATCCACCCACGCACTCACCCACCCACCCACTCACTCATCCACCCACGCACTCACCCACCCACGCACTCACCCACCCACGCACTTACTCACTCACTCACTCACCCACCCACGCACTCACTCACCCACTCATCTACCCACCCACTCACCCACCCACTCACTCACCCACCCACCCACTCACTCACCCACCCACGCACTCACCCACTCACCCACCCACGCACTCACTCACCCACCCACTCACTCATCCACCCACACACTCACCCACCCACGCACTCACCCACCCACGCACCCACCCACGCACTCACCCACCCACGCACTCACCCACCCACTCACTCACTCACTCACCCATCCACTCACCCACTCACCCACTCACTCACTCACTCACCCACCCACCCACGCACTCACCCACCCACTCACTCACTCACCCACCCACTCACTCACTCACCCACTCACCCACTCACCCACCCACTCACTCACCCACTCACCCACCCACTCACCCACTCACCCACTCACCCACCCACCCACTCACTCACTCACCCACCCACTCACTCACTCACTCACCCACTCACCCACTCACCCACCCACTCACTCACCCACTCACCCACCCACTCACCCACTCACCCACTCACCCACCCACTCACCCACCCACCCACGCACTCACCCACCCACGCACTCACCCACCCACGCACTCACCCACCCACGCACCCACCCACGCACTCACCCACCCACTCACTCACCCACTCACCCACCCACTCACCCACTCACCCACTCACCCACCCACCCACTCACTCACTCACCCACTCACCCACCCACTCACCCACTCACCCACTCACCCACCCACCCACTCACCCACCCACTCACTCACCCACTCACCCACTCACCCACCCACTCACTCACCCACTCACCCACCCACTCACCCACTCACCCACTCACCCACTCACCCACCCACTCACTCACCCACCCACCCACGCACTCACCCACCCACGCACTCACCCACCCACGCACTCACCCACCCACGCACCCACCCACGCACTCACCCACCCACGCACTCACCCACTCACTCACTCACTCACCCATCCACTCACCCACTCACCCACCCACTCACTCACTCACTCACCCACCCACCCACGCACTCACCCACCCACTCACTCACTCACTCACCCACCCACTCACTCACTCACTCACCCACTCACCCACCCACTCACTCACCCACTCACCCACCCACTCACCCACTCACCCACTCACCCACCCACCCACTCACTCACTCACCCACCCACTCACTCACTCACTCACCCACTCACCCACTCACCCACCCACTCACTCACCCACTCACCCACCCACTCACCCACTCACCCACTCACCCACCCACTCACCCACCCACCCACCCACTCACCCACTCACCCACCCACTCACCCACTCACCCACCCACCCACCCACTCACTCACCCACTCACCCACTCACTCACCCACGCACTCATCCACCCACCCACTCACCCACCCAATCACCCACTCACCCACCCACCCACCCACTCACCCACTCACCCACCCACTCACCCACTCACTCACCCACGCACTCATCCACCCACGCACTCATCCACCCACCCACTCACCCACCCACTCACCCACTCACCCACCCACCCACTCACCCACTCACCCACCCACTCACCCACTCACCCACTCACCCACCCACTCACCCACTCACCCACTCACTCACTCACCCACTCACCCACTCACTCATCTACCCACGCACCGACTCACCCACCCACTCACTCATCCACCCACGCACTCACTCACCCACCCACCCACCCACGCACTCACTCACCCACCCACCCACCCACGCACTCACTCACCCACTCACCCACCCACCCACCCACTCATCTACCCACGCACTCATCCACCCACGCACTCACCCACCCACGCACTCACCCACCCACCCACTCACTCACTCACTCACCCACTCACCCACCCACTCACCCACCCACCCACTCACCCACCCACCCACTCACCCACCCACCCACTCACCCATCCACGCACTCATCCACCCACCCACGCACTCACCCACCCACTCACTCACTCACCCACCCACGCACTCACTCACTCACTCACCCACTCACTCACTCACCCACTCACTCATCTACCCACGCACTCACTCTCCCTCCCACTCACTCATCCACCCACGCACTCCCTCACCCACCCACCCACTCATCGACCCACGCACTCACCCACGCACTCCCTCACCCACCCTCCCACTCACTCACCCTCCCACTCACTCACTCACCCACACACTCACCCACCCACCCACTCACTCATCCACCCACTCACTCACCCACCCACACACTCACTCACCCACGCACTCACCCACCCACGCACTCACTCACCCACTCACTCACCCACTCACCCAGTCACTCATCTACCCACGCACCCACTCACCCACCCACTCACTCATCCACCCACGCACTCACTCACCCACCCACCCACTCACTCATCTACCCACGCACTCACCCACCCACTCACTCATCCACCCACGCACTCACCCACCCACGCATTCACTCACTCACTCACCCACCCACCCACGCACTCACTCACCCACTCACTCACTCACTCACCCACTCACCCACTCACTCATCTACCCACGCACTCACCCACCCACCCACTCACTCATCCACCCACGCACTCACTCACCCACCCACCCACTCACTCATCTACCCACCCACTCACCCACCCACTCACTCACCCACCCACCCACTCACTCACCCACCCACGCACTCACCCACTCACCCACCCACGCACTCACTCACCCACTCACTCATCCACCCACACACTCACCCACCCACGCACTCACCCACCCACGCACCCACCCACGCACTCACCCACCCACGCACTCACCCACCCACTCACTCACTCACTCACCCATCCACTCACCCACTCACCCACTCACTCACTCACCCACCCACCCACGCACTCACCCACCCACTCACTCACTCACCCACCCACTCACTCACTCACCCACTCACGCACTCACCCACCCACTCACTCACCCACTCACCCACCCACTCACCCACTCACCCACTCACCCACCCACCCACTCACTCACTCACCCACCCACTCACTCACTCACTCACCCACTCACCCACCCACTCACTCACCCACTCACCCACCCACTCACCCACTCACCCACCCACCCACCCACTCACTCACCCACCCACCCACGCACTCACCCACCCACGCACTCACCCACCCACGCACTCACCCACCCACGCACCCACCCACGCACTCACCCACCCACGCACTCACCCACCCACTCACTCACTCACTCACCCATCCACTCACCCACTCACCCACCCACTCACTCACTCACTCACCCACCCACCCACGCACTCACCCACCCACTCACTCACTCACTCACCCACCCACTCACTCACTCACCCACTCACCCACTCACCCACCCACTCACTCACCCACTCACCCACCCACTCACCCACTCACCCACTCACCCACCCACTCACTCACTCACCCACCCACTCACTCACTCACCCACTCACCCACCCACTCACTCACCCACTCACCCACCCACTCACCCACTCACCCACTCACCCACCCACCCACCCACTCACCCACTCACCCACCCACTCACCCACTCACCCACCCACCCACCCACTCACTCACCCACTCACCCACTCACTCACCCACGCACTCATCCACCCACCCACTCACCCACCCACTCACCCACCCACCCACCCACTCACCCACTCACCCACCCACTCACCCACTCACTCACCCACGCACTCATCCACCCACGCACTCATCCACCCACCCACTCACCCACCCACTCACCCACCCACCCACCCACCCACTCACCCACTCACCCACCCACTCACCCACTCACCCACTCACCCACCCACTCACCCACTCACCCACTCACCCACTCACTCACTCACCCACTCACCCACTCACTCATCTACCCACGCACCGACTCACCCACCCACTCACTCATCCACCCACGCACTCACTCACCCACCCACCCACCCACGCACTCACTCACCCACCCACCCACCCACGCACTCACTCACCCACTCACCCACCCACCCACTCACCCACCCACCCACTCATCTACCCACGCACTCATCCACCCACGCACTCACCCACCCACGCACTCACCCACCCACCCACTCACTCACTCACTCACCCACTCACCCACCCACCCACTCACCCACCCACCCACTCACCCACCCACTCACCCACCCACCCACTCACCCATCCACGCACTCATCCACCCACCCACGCACTCACCCACCCACTCACTCACCCACCCACCCACGCACTCACTCACTCACTCACCCACTCACTCACTCACCCACTCACTCATCTACCCACGCACTCACTCTCCCTCCCACTCACTCATCCACCCACGCACTCCCTCACCCACCCACCCACTCATCCACCCACGCACTCCCTCACCCACCCTCCCACTCACTCACCCTCCCACTCACTCACTCACCCACACACTCACCCACCCACCCACTCACTCATCCACCCACTCACTCACCCACCCACACACTCACTCACCCACGCACTCACCCACCCACGCACTCACTCACCCACTCACTCACCCACTCACCCAGTCACTCATCTACCCACGCACCCACTCACCCACCCACTCACTCATCCATCCACGCACTCACTCACCCACCCACCCACTCACTCATCTACCCAAGCACTCACCCACCCACTCACTCATCCACCCACGCACTCACCCACCCACGCACTCACTCACTCACTCACCCACCCACCCACGCACTCACTCACCCACTCACTCACTCACTCACCCACTCACCCACTCACCCACTCACTCATCTACCCACGCACTCACCCACCCACCCACTCACTCATCCACCCACGCACTCACTCACCCACCCACCCACTCACTCATCCACCCACGCACTCACTCACCCACCCACTCACTCATCCACCCACGCACTCATCCACCCACGCACTCACTCACCCACCCACGCACTCACTCACTCATTCACCCACCCACGCACTCACTCACCCACCCACCCACTCACCCACCCACCCACTCACTCATCCACCCACGCACTCACTCACCCACCCACTCACTCACCCACCCACGCACTCATCCACCCACGCACTCATCCACCCACCCACTCACTCACACACCCACCCACGCACTCACTCACCCACCCACCCACGCACTCACTCACCCACCCACGCACTCAACCACCCACCCACTCAATCATCCACCCATGCACTCACCCACCCATGCACTCACCCACCCATGCACTCATCCACCCATGCACTCACCCACCCACGCACTCACCCACCCACCCACTCACCCATCCACTCACCCACTCACTCACTCACTCACCCACTCACCCACTCACCCACCCACTCACTCACTCACCCACCCACTCACTCACCCACCCACTCACTCACCCACCCACCCACCCACCCACCCACTCACTCACCCACCCACCCACTCACTCACTCACCCACTCACCCACTCACCCAACCACTCACTCACCCATCCACTCACCCACCCACTCACTCACCCACTCACCCACCCACTCACTCACCCACTCACTCACTCACCCACTCACTCACTCACCCATCCACTCACTCACCCACTCACTCACCCACTCACCCACCCACTCACCCACTCACTCACCCACCCACTCACCCACTCACCCACTCACTCACCCACCCACTCACCCACTCACCCACCCACTCACTCACTTACCCACTCACTCACTCACCCACTCACCCACCCACTCACTCACCCACTCACTCACCCACCCACACACTCACTCACCCACGCACTCACCCACCCACGCACTCACTCACCCACTCACTCACCCACTCACCCAGTCACTCATCTACCCACGCACCCACTCACCCACCCACTCACTCATCCACCCACGCACTCACTCACCCACCCACCCACTCACTCATCTACCCACGCACTCACCCACCCACTCACTCATCCACCCACGCACTCACCCACCCACGCACTCACTCACTCACCCACCCACCCACGCACTCACTCACCCACTCACTCACTCACTCACCCACTCACCCACTCACCCACTCACTCATCTACCCACGCACTCACCCACCCACTCACTCATCCACCCACGCACTCACTCACCCACCCACTCACTCATCCACCCACGCACTCACTCACCCACCCACTCACTCATCCACCCACGCACTCATCCACCCACGCACTCACTCACCCACCCACGCACTCACTCACTCATTCACCCACCCACGCACTCACCCACCCACTCACTCACCCACCCACCCACTCACTCATCCACCCACCCACTCACTCACCCACCCACTCACTCACCCACCCACGCACTCATCCACCCACGCACTCACCCACCCACCCACTCACTCACCCACCCACCCACGCACTCACTCACCCACCCACCCACGCACTCACTCACCCACCCACGCACTCAACCACCCACCCACTCAATCATCCACCCACGCACTCACCCACCCATGCACTCACCCACCCATGCACTCATCCACCCACGCACTCACCCACCCACGCACTCACCCACCCACCCACTCACCCATCCACTCACCCACTCACTCACTCACTCACCCACTCACCCACTCACCCACCCACTCACTCACTCACCCACCCACTCACTCACCCACCCACTCACTCACCCACCCACCCACCCACTCACTCACCCACCCACCCACTCACCCACTCACCCACTCACCCACTCACCCAACCACTCACTCACCCATCCACTCACCCACCCACTCACTCACCCACTCACCCACCCACTCACTCACCCACTCACTCACTCACCCACTCACTCACTCACCCATCCACTCACTCACCCACTCACTCACCCACTCACCCACCCACTCACCCACTCACTCACCCACCCACTCACCCACTCACCCACTCACTCACCCACTCACTCACCCACCCACTCACCCACTCACCCACCCACTCACTCACTTACCCACTCACTCACTCACCCACTCACCCACCCACTCACTCACCCACTCACCCACCCACTCACTCACCCACTCACTCACCCACTCACCCACCCATTCACCCACCCACTCACCCATCCACTCACCCACCCACTCACCCACCCATTCACCCATCCACTCACCCATCCACTCACCCACCCACTCACCCATCCACTCACTCACTCACCCACCCACCCACTCACTCACCCATCCACTCACCCACCCACTCACTCACCCACCCACCCACTCACCCACCCACAGGTGCAGATCCGGCCGTGGAAGCTGTGTGACAGTGACTTTGTGATGGACGGCACTCAGCCACTGGACCCCAGAAAGACGGTCTTCATTGGTGGTGTGCCCAGACCCCTACGTGCAGGTACACACCCTGGCTCTTATGTACACGTGTGTGTGTCTATATGTGTACCTGTGTGTACCTGTGTGTACCTGTGTGTGTGTGTACCTGTGTGTGTGTGTGTACCTGTGTGTGTATCTGTGTGTGTGTCTGTATGTGTACCTGTGTGTGTCTGTGTGTGTCTGTGTGTGTATGTGTATGTGTGTATGTGTACCTGTGTGTGTATCTGTGTGTGTGTATGTGTGTGTGTACCTGTGTGTGTATGTGTGTGTGTGTCTATATGTGTACCTGTGTGTACCTGTGTGTACCTGTGTGTGTGTATGTGTGTGTATGTGTACCTGTGTGTGTCTGTGTGTGTGTGTGTCTGTATGTGTACCTGTGTGTGTCGGTGTGTGTGTGTATGTGTGTGTGTACCTGTGTGTGTATCTGTGTGTGTATCTGTGTGTGTACCTGTGTGTACCTGTGTGTGTCTGTGTGTGTCTGTGTGTGTGTGTATGTGTACCTATGTGTACCTGTGTGTATCTGTGTGTACCTGTGTGTGTCTGTGTGTGTGTATGTGTACCTGTGTGTGTGTACCTGTGTGTGTATCTGTGTGTGTGTGTCTGTATGTGTACCTGTGTGTACCTGTGTGTGTCTGTGTGTGTGTGTGTATGTGTACCTGTGTGTGTATCTGTGTGTGTGTCTGTATGTGTACCTGTGTGGGTCTGTGTGTGTATTTGTACCTGTTTGTGTATCTGTGTGTGTGTCTGTATGTGTACCTGTGTGTGTCTGTGTGTGTGTATGTGTGTGTGTACCTGTGTGTGTATCTGTATGTGTACCTGTGTGTGTGTGTGTGTGTACCTGTGTGTGTATCTGTGTGTGTGTACCTGTGTGTGTACCTGTGTGTACCTGTGTGTGTCTGTGTATGTGTGTGTGTATGTGTGTGTGTACCTGTGTGTGTCTGTATGTGTACCTGTGTGTACCTGTGTGTGTCTGTGTATGTGTGTCTGTGTATGTGTGTGTGTACCTGTGTGTGTATCTGTATGTGTACCTGTGTGTACCTGTGTGTGTGTTTGTACCTGTTTGTGTATCTGTGTGTATGTACCTGTGTATGTGACTGTGTGTGTGTGTATGTGACTGTGTGTGTGTGTATGTGACTGTGTGTGTGTGTATCTGTGTGTGTGTATCTGTGTGTATGTATCTGTGTTTGTACCTGTTTGTGTATCTGTGCGTATGTACCTGTGTATGTGACTGTGTTACTGTGTGTATGTACCTGTGTATGTGACTGTGTATCTGTGTGTGTGTACCTGTGTGTGTGTGTATCTGTGTGTGTCTGTATGTGTACCTGTGTGTGTCTGTGCGTGTGTGTGTACCTGTGTGTATATCTGTGTGTATGTACCTGTGCATGTGACTATGTATCTGTGTGTATGTACCTGTGTGTGTATGTGACTGTGTGTGTGTGTGTCTGTGTCTGTATGTGTATGTGTACCTGTGTGTACCTGTGTGTGTGTGTGTCTGTATGTGTACCTGTGTGTGTGTACCTGTTTGTGTATCTGTGTGTATGTACCTGTGTATGTGACTGTGTATCTGTGTGTATGTACCTGTGTGTGTATCTGTACCTGTGTGTGTCTGTGTGTCTGGGTGTGTACCTGTGTGTACCTGTGTGTGTGTCTGTGTGTGTATGTGTGTGTACCTGTGTGTGTATCTGTGTGTGTATCTGTGTGTGTACCTGTGTGTACCTGTGTGTGTCTGTGTGTGTCTGTGTGTGTGTGTATGTGTACCTATGTGTACCTGTGTGTATCTGTGTGTACCTGTGTGTGTCTGTGTGTGTGTGTATGTGTACCTGTGTGTGTGTACCTGTGTGTGTATCTGTGTGTGTGTGTGTCTGTATGTGTACCTGTGTGTACCTGTGTGTGTCTGTGTGTGTGTGTGTATGTGTACCTGTGTGTGTATCTGTGTGTGTGTCTGTATGTGTACCTGTGTGGGTCTGTGTGTGTATTTGTACCTGTTTGTGTATCTGTGTGTGTGTCTGTATGTGTACCTGTGTGTGTCTGTGTGTGTGTATGTGTGTGTGTACCTGTGTGTGTATCTGTATGTGTACCTGTGTGTGTGTGTGTGTACCTGTGTGTGTATCTGTGTGTGTGTACCTGTGTGTGTACCTGTGTGTACCTGTGTGTGTCTGTGTATGTGTGTGTGTATGTGTGTGTGTACCTGTGTGTGTCTGTATGTGTACCTGTGTGTACCTGTGTGTGTCTGTGTATGTGTGTCTGTGTATGTGTGTGTGTACCTGTGTGTGTATCTGTATGTGTACCTGTGTGTACCTGTGTGTGTGTTTGTACCTGTTTGTGTATCTGTGTGTATGTACCTGTGTATGTGACTGTGTGTGTGTGTATGTGACTGTGTGTGTGTGTATGTGACTGTGTGTGTGTACCTGTGGGGAGCGATAGTGTAGCGGTTAGCGCGCTGCGCTATGAACGTGGCGACCCGGGTTCGATTCCCGCTCACGGCCAACACCAGTGACGATTATCTGAACCGGTCCCGGGCCTCCCCTAGGTCGACTCAGCCTTAAATGAGTACCTGGTGCGGTGTGTAAACATTGCCACTAGGGAGACAAAGGCGGTCGGGCGTGGTGCTGGCCACCCACCCCCTCGTGTACCGTTCCGGCCTTCATAGGTGCTCGCTAACAGCACTTGCCCCTACAGTCTGTTCATGCTATACGGGGGATCTTTGTCTTTGTTTATCTTTGTCTGTACCTGTGTGTGTGTGTATGTGACTGTGTGTGTGTGTATCTGTGTGTGTGTATCTGTGTGTATGTATCTGTGTTTGTACCTGTTTGTGTATCTGTGCGTATGTACCTGTGTATGTGACTGTGTTACTGTGTGTATGTACCTGTGTATGTGACTGTGTATCTGTGTGTGTGTACCTGTGTGTGTGTGTGTGTATCTGTGTGTGTCTGTATGTGTACCTGTGTGTGTCTGTGCCTGTGTGTGTACCTGTGTGTATATCTGTGTGTATGTACCTGTGTATCTGTGTGTATATGTGTGTGTATCTGTACCTGTGTGTGTCTGTGTGTGTCCCTGTGTGTGTCTGTGTGTATGTACCTGTGCATGTGACTATGTATCTGTGTGTATGTACCTGTGTGTGTATGTGACTGTGTGTGTGTGTCTGTGTCTGTATGTGTACCTGTGTGTACCTGTGTGTGTGTGTGTGTCTGTATGTGTACCTGTGTGTGTGTACCTGTTTGTGTATCTGTGTGTATGTACCTGTGTATGTGACTGTGTATCTGTGTGTATGTACCTGTGTGTGTATCTGTACCTGTGTGTGTCTGTGTGTCTGGGTGTGTACCTGTGTGTACCTGTGTGTGTGTCTGTGTGTGTATGTGTGTGTGTCTGTGTGTACCTGTGTGTGTGTCTGTATGTCCGGCAAAACAACCCCCTACCTCCTCGCGGTGCCGGACGGGCAACTCTGTCGTGGACAGCGCTGTGGGGGGAGATCCAATTTTGATTGGCTCCTCCCCTCATGGCATATGTATCCACCACAGGGGCTAAACGGGGGCTCTGGACGGGTGCGAGGGGCTGGTAACTCCTCCACCTTCAATTAATTACCACGAAACTACGAATTAAACTTAAATATGTAACAACTAAGCTTGTGCCGGAGGCCCCGGGGGGCCAGGCGTCTATGACGTCTCCTGGCCAAACCCCAATTGGCGGAGCCAGGAGATTGAATACCTACCCTCGGGGCTACTCCAGAAACAACGAAAAGCCACTACGGTTGGCCACGTGGAATGTTCGAACGTTCACTGCAGAGGAGAGGCTGCCACTCCTCTGTCGGGAGCTGGACCGGTACCGCCTGGATCTATGCGGCATTCAGGAGGTCCGGTGGACCGGCTCTGGCTCCTGCCACCATGAGGGGTGGACAGTTCTCTACTCGGGGCAGCAGACTGCCAAACAACAGGGTGTGGGTCTTCTTTTGAACAAAAGAATGAAGGGGGCGTGGGAGCGTGGTGGTGAGGTGTGGGAAGCTGTAAGCCCCAGGCTACTTTGGGCTCGCCTTCCCATCAACCGGAGGCGAGGAATGGTGGTCGTGGTTACTTATGCCCCCACCGAAGATGAACATCCGTGGAGGGATGCAGGCAAAGCCGATGAGTCAGATGCCTTCTATGACCTCCTGTCACAGGTGCTGGCTAAAGTGGCCCCTCGGGATAGAGTCATCATGTTGGGTGACTTCAATGCCCGAGTTGGTCATGATACTGGCACCTGGCCTGGAGTGATTGGAGGGCATGGGCCAGATCAGCTCAATAACAACGGTAGGAGGCTGCTAGATTTTTGTGCAGCCCATGGGCTTGTAATTACCAACACGCTGTTCCGGCATCGGCGCATCCACACAACATCATGGATGCATGCCGGGTCCAAGCAAGAACATCTGCTGGACTACATAGTGACGGACCAGCGAATGCGAGCCCATGTCCTTGACACCAGGACCTACCGTGGAGCTGATCTGCCCTCTGACCATCGACTAGTCATCTGTAAGATGCGCCACTCCGGTGGTGGGTGTACACCCAGGACCCCATTCCAACCTAAAGTGGCCTGGTCTCAGTTATCTGATGAAAGTTGCAAGCGAGAATTTCATCATCGCTTGCGGCTGGGATTGGCATCGTCCCCGACTCCTCCTGATGTCGAGGGTAAATGGGCGAGGTTTAGGACTGTGACTCATGCAGCTGCAATGGCTGCTTTGGGTACGCGGTCCAGACCTCCCCAGACACCCTGGATGACAGAGGAGTTGTTCACGATGGTTGAGAAAAAGCGACAGGCCCACTGTCATCGGCTACAGAGTCCCACGTCAGAGAATGAGGAGGCTTACCGCAGCCTTCGCTCGGAGGTTCGGAGAGCCGTGAGGCGCTGCAAGGATGGGTGGTGGTCGCGGGTTGCTGAGGAGATGGAGTCTGCCTCAGTGGCCCGTGATCACAAATCTCTATTTAACTCCATCAAAAAAGTAACCTGCAGCGCCACACCTATTACCATCATTAGGGGAAAAAACGGCGATCCAATTTCTGACCCCCAGGAACAGGTTCGCAGATTTGCTGAGCATTTCTGTGAGGTCCTGGGGGAGGGAAAATCCCTCAGCCAGGAAAACATCGTGGCACAAAGTGAGGATGACCCTGCTGAGGCTGCGGTGCCTCAAATATTGGATGAAGTCACCCCCTGTGAGTGGCTGGCTGAGGTGCCATCTGCTGAGGAAGTATTGAAGGCGATCCGGAGTCTGAGACCAGGAAAGGCAGCGGGCAGAGATGATCTTCCAAGCGAAATGCTGAGGGAGGGTGGCGTTTGTGCACAGACTGCCCTATATGACATCATAACAACAGTCTGGACCACTGGACGGGTTCCGCAGGATTGGAAGGATGCCCTGGTGGTCCCCCTTTTTAAGAAGGGGGACCGCACAGACTGTAACAACTACAGGGGCATCTCACTCCTCAGTGTGCCGGGAAAGGTCCTGGCAAGGATTATTCAGCATCGCCTTGCCAGGCACGCTGAGGAGAGGCTTGCGGAGCCCCAATGCGGTTTCAGGAAAGGGCGGTCCTGCACAGATGCCATATTTTCTGTCCGTCTGCTACAGCAGAGGTGTAGGGAATTCCAACAAGACCTACATCTCTGCTTTATTGACCTGGTCAAGGCCTATGATACCATCAGTAGGCCTGGGCTCTGGGTCGTTCTTCGTGCTTTTGGAGTACCTGACCCTCTGCTCACGATCATTAAGGACCTTCATGATGGTGAGCGGGCCCGGGTAAAACTACGTGGCCGGGAGTCAGAGCCATTCCCTGTACACCTTGGGGTGCGACAGGGATGTCCTCTGGCTCCCACATTATTTAACATCTATTTTGACCACGTAGTTCGTGAAGCCTTCAATAGCTGTACCGGGGGAATCTCCATATGGTACAGATATAATGGGAGGCTAATCGATGCCCGGGTGCGGTCAAGGGATGGCTCCCTATTGCTCAACCACGTTATGTATGCTGATGACTTGGTAATAGCTGCTCAGTCAGAGGAGGAGTTGGAGACGCTGCTGCTGAGACTGGAGCGTGCCACTAAGAGGTGGGGCCTTACCATCAGCCCCACCAAAACCAAGCACCTGCCTGGGTATTTTGTACCATCGGACACTCCACCCCCACAACTCCCAATCGGTGATGGGGCAGTTGTGGAGAGAGTGGAGAGTTTCCCATACCTGGGCAGTGTGCTTATGACTGGCACCAGTTTAACCGCAGAGGTCTCACTCCGAATCAGTCGAGCGGCAATATCTTTTCATCGGTTGCGTAACGCTGTGTGGAAGCTACCTGGTCTGTCGCTCCGCACTAAGCTTCAGGTCTTCTCGGCCACGGTCATTCCCTCCCTTCTCTACGCTTGCGAAACGTGGACCCCCCTAATGGAACATCTTCGCCGGTTAGAAACATTTAGGCTGGCCTGCCTACGATCCATCCTGGGTTTAACCAGACTGGATTGTGTGAGGAGCTCACAAATCCTTGAAAGATCTGGGCAGGGTCCCATCGGTGAGCTCCTCCGGCAGGCAAGGCTGCGATGGCTGGGTCATGTAGCCCGCATGCCCAGCCACCGCATGCCGAAACAGCTTTTGTTTGGCCGGATTGAGGGGGCTAAGCGGGCGCGGCACGGGCTAGAGAAGAGATGGAGTGATGTGGTACAGGAGGACGTGGAGCTGAGTGGACTTGCCGATGACTGGTACCAGCGGTGTCAAGATCGGCCTCTGTGGAGGAGGCTCGTGAAGGATGCTACTGGGCAGTTGGAGGCAGTCGCCCTCCAACAACAACGGAGGGCGGAGGAGCGACGCTCACAACAGCGAGCGGAGCGCCGGGTGGCTAAAGCACAGCAGGTTGGCACAGTAGGGGGCACAGGTGGTGCATCAGCCAGTCATCTCAGTCAGTCGACCCGTGGCACCTGGGTCTGCCCCGTGACCTCCTGCCAGCGGGCGTTCGACACTTCACGTGGCCTCAGGGTGCACATAGCCTGGCACAAGCGTCGTGGTGACGTCACCGCCACTTAGTGGCGAATGGCGGTTGTTGTTGTTGTTGTGTGTCTGTATGTGTACCTGTGTGTACCTGTGTGTGTGTACCTGTGTGTACCTGTGTGTGTATGTGTGTACCTGTTTGTGTATCTGTGTGTATGTACCTGTGTATGTGACTGTGTGTGTGTGTATGTGACTGTGTGTGTGTGTGTATCTGTGTGTATGTACCTGTGTGTGTATGTGACTGTCTGTGTGTGTGTATCTGTGTGTGTATCTTGGTGTGTATGTACCTGTGTGTATGTGACTGTGTGTACGTGACTGTCTGTGTGTGTGTATATGTGTGTATGTACCTGTGTGTATGTACCTGTGTGTATGTGTATCTGTGTGTATGTACCTGTGTGTGTATCTGTGTGTGTATGTACCTGTGTGTGCCTGTGTGTGTATCTGTGTGTACGTGTGTGTCTGTGTACCTGTGTACGTGTGTCTGTGTGTATGTACCTGTGTGTGTATCTGTGTGTATGTACCTGTGTGTGTATCTGTGTGTGTACTTGTGTGTGTGACTGTGTGTGTATGTATCTGTGTGTGTGTACCTGTGTGTGTGATTGTATCTGTGTGTATGTATCTGTGTGTATGTACATGTGTGTGTATCTGTGTGTATGTACCTGTGTGTGTGTGTGTACCTGTGTGTGTATCTGTGTGTGTGTATCTGTGTGTGTATCTGTTTGTGTGCGTGTGTATCTGTGTGTGTGCGTGTGTATCTGTGTGTGTGCGTGTGTGTCTGTGTGTCTGTGTACCTGTGTGTGTGTCTGTGTACCTGTGTGTGTGTCTGTGTACCTGTGTGTGTGTCTGTGTACCTGTGTGTGTGTACCTGTGTGTACGTGTGTGTGCGTAGTGTAGTTGGCAGTAGTGATGCAGCGTCTCTATGGCTCCGTGTGTATGTACCTGTGTGTATATCTGTGTGTGTGTACCTGTGTCCCTGTGTATCTGTGTATCTGTGTGTGTCTGTGTACCTGTGTGTGTGTATGCATGTAGTGGAGTTGGCAGTAGTGATGCAGCACGTGTATGTACCTATGTGTGTATCTGTGTGTGTGTGTGTATCTGTGTGTGTGTATATGTGCGTGTACCTGTGTATCTGTGTGTGTGTCTGTGTATCTGTGTGTGTGAGTATCTGTGTGTACCTGTGTGTATGTGTATCTGTGTATGTGTGTCTGTGTGTACCTGTGTGTGTATGTGTGTCTGTGTGTACCTGTGTGTGTGTGTGCGTAGTGGAGTTGTCAGTAGTGATGCAGCGTCTCTATGGCTCTGTGTGTATGTATCTGTGTGTCTGTGTATCTGTGTGTCTGTGTACCTGTGTGTCTGTGTACGTGTACCTGTGTGTGTGTCTGTGTACCTGTGTGTGTACCTGTGTATCTGTGTGTCTGTGTACCTGTGTGTGTGCGTAGTGGAGTTGGCAATAGTGATGCAGCGTCTCTACGGCTCTGTGTGTATGTGTGACTGTGTGTACCTGTGTGTGTATCTGTGTGTGTGTTTCTGTGTATGTGTATCTGTGTGTATGTGTGTATGTGTGTCTGTGTGTATGTGTGTATGTGTGTCTGTGTGTATGTGTGTGTGTGTGTCTGTATGTTTGTGGGGAGCGATAGTGTAGCGGTTAGCGCTACGCTGTGCTATGAACCTGGCAACCCGGGTTCGATTCCCGCTCACGGCCAACACCAGTGACGATTATCTGAACCGGTCCCGGGGCCTCCTCTAGGTCGACCCAGCCTCAAATGAGTACCTGGTGCGGTGTGTAAACATTGCCACTAGGGAGACAAAGGCGGTCGGGCGTGGTGCTGGCCACCCACCCCCTCGTGTGCCGTTCCGGCCTTCACAGGTGCTGCTCGCTAACAGCACTTGCCCCTACAGTCTGTTAAGGCTATATGGGGGATCTTTGTCTTTGATGTACCTGTGTGTGTGTGTCTGTGTACCTGTGTGTGTGTCTGTGTATCTGTGTGTGTGTCTGTGTACCTGTGTGTCTCTGTACCTGTGTGTGTCTGTGTGTGTGTGCGTGTGTACCTGTGTGTGTGTACCTGTGTATCTGTGTGTATGTGTGTCTGTGTATCTGTGTATGTATCTGTGTGTGTGTACCTGTGTGTGTGTGTGCGTAGTGGAGTTGGCAGTAGTGATGCAGCGTCTCTACGGCTCCGTGTGTATGTACCTGTGTGTGTGTATGTGTGTGTGACTGTGTGTATCTGTGTGTCTGTGTGTATGTACCTGTGTGTGTACCTGTATGTGTGTGTCTGTGTACCTGTGTCTGTGTATGTGTGTATCTGTGTGTGTGTGCGTAGTGGAGTTGGCAGTAGTGATGCAGCGTCTCTATGGCTCCGTGTGTATGTACCTGTGTGTGTGTATGTGTGTGTGACTGTGTGTACCTGTGTGTACCTGTGTGTGTATGTGTGTCTGTGTGTACCTGTGTGTGTGTGCGTAGTGGAGTTGGCAGTAGTGATGCAGCGTCTCTATGGCTCCGTGTGCTACGCCGGCATCGACACGGACCCAGAGCTGCGCTACCCCAAGGGTGCCGGGCGAGTGGCCTTCTCCAGCCAGCAGAGCTACATAGCAGCGCTGTCCGCTCCCTTCATCAGGATCCAGCACGGGGAAACGGACAAGCGGGTCCGTCTCATCGCTCGCCCACTCGCCCGCCCGCCCACTCAGTCACGCACCCACACACTCACCAACCCACCCACCCACCAACCCACCCACCCACACACTCACCAACCCACTCACTCGCTCACCCACCCACCCACACACTCACCAACCCACTCACTCGCTCACCCACCCACCCACACACTCATCAACTCACTCGCTCACCCACCCACCCACACACTCACCAACCCACTCACTCGCTCACCCAACCACCCACACACTCACCAACCCACTCACTCGCTCACCCACCCACCCACACACTCACCAACCCACTCACTCGCTCACCCACCCACCCACACACTCACCAACCCACTCACTCGCTCGCCCACCCACACACTCACCTACCCACTCGCTCGCTCGCTCACCCACCCACACACTCACCAACCCACTCACTCGCTCACCCACCAACACTCACACACCCACCCACACACTCACCCACCAACACACTCACACACCCACCCACTCGCTCACCCACCCACCCACACACTCACCCACCCACACACTCACCCACACACTCACCAACCCACCCACCAACCCACCCACCAACCCACCCACACACTCACCCACTCGCTCGCCCACCCACCCACACACTCACCAACCCACCCACACACTCACACACCCACCCACACACTCTTCCACTCAATCACCCACCCACATACTCACCCACCCAGTCTCGCACCTGCTCACCCACCCACACACACACTCACCAACCCACCCACACACTCACCAACCCACCCACTCGCTCGCCCACCCACTCACCAACCCACTCACTCACTCACCCACCCACCCAGTCACGCACCCACACTCACCCACACTCACCCACCCACACACTCACCCACCCACATAGTCACGCACCTGCTCACCAACCCACCCACACACCAACCCACCCACCCACCAACCCACCCACCAACCCACCCACCCACCAACCCACCCACCAACCCACCCACCAACCCACCCACCCACCAACCCACCCACCAACCCACCCACCAACCCACCCACCAACCCACCCACCAACCCACCCACCAACCCACCCACCAACCCACCCACCAACCCACCCACCCACCAACCCACCCACCAACCCACCAACCCACCCACCAACCCACCCACCAACCCACCCACCAACCCACCCACCAACCCACCCACCAACCCACCCACCAACCCACCAACCCACCCACCAACCCACCCACCCACCATCCCACCCACCAACCCACCCACCAACCCACCAACCCACCCACCAACCCACCCACCAACCCACCCACCAACCCACCCACCAACCCACCCACCCACCAACTCATCCACCAACCCAACAACCAACTCACCCACCAACCCACCCAACAACCCACCCACCAACCGACCCAACAACCCACCAACCCACCCACCAACCCACCCACCAACACACCCAACAACCCACCCGCCAATCTACCCATCAACCCACCCACCAACCCACCCACCAACCCACCCATCAACCCACCCACCAACCCACCCACCAACCCACCCACCAACCCACCCACCAACCCACCAACCCACCCACCAACCCACCCACCAACCCACCAACCCACCCACCAACCAACCCACCAACCCACCCACCAACCCACCCACCAACCCACCCACCCACCAACCCACCCACCCACCAACCCACCCACCCACCCACCAACCCACCCACCCACCCACCAACCCACCCACCCACCAACCCACCCACCCACCCACCAACCCACCCACCAACCCACCCACCAACCCACCCACCAACCCACCCACCAACCCACCCACCAACCCACCCACCCACCAACCCACCCACCAACCCACCCACCCACCAACCCACCCACCAACCCACCCACCCACCAACCCACCCACCCACCAAGCCACCCACCCACCAACCCACCCACCAACCCACCCACCCACCCACCCACCCACCCACCAACCCACCCACCCACCCACCCACCCACCCACGCACCCACCCACCCACCAACACACCCACCCACCCACACACCCACCCACCAACCCACCCACCAACCCACCCACCCACCAACCCACCCACCCACCAACCCACCCACCCACCAACCCACCCACCCACCAACCCACCCACCCACCAACCCACCCACCAACCCACCAACCCACCCACACACCAACCCACCCACACACCAACCCACCCACACACCAACCCACCCACACACCAACCCACCCACACACTTACCCAACCACACATTCACCCACCCACACAATCACCTACCCACCTACACACTCACCCACCCACACAGTCACGCACCTGCTCACCCACCCACAAACTCACCCACCCACCCACACACTCACACACCCACCCACACACACACTCACCCACCAACCCACCAACCCACCCACTCGCTCAATCACCCACTCACCAACCCACTCACCAACCCACCCACTCAATCACCCACCCACCCACTCAACAACCCACCCACTCACCAACCCACCCACTCACCAACCCACCCACCCACCCACTCACCAACCCACCCACTCAATCAATTACCAACCCACCAATCCACTCACTCACTCACCCACCCACCCACTCTCTCATTCATCTCCCATCCCCCCACCACTCCCCCCACTCCCCCCACTCCCCCCCCCCCCCCACCACCGAGCAGGTGGAGGTGAAGCCCTACGTGCTGGACGACCAGCTGTGTGACGAGTGTGACGGCTCTCCCGGCGAGCGGCGCCACGCGGCGCTCTTCTGCGGCAGCGTGGCGTGCCTGCAGTACTACTGCACACGCTGCTGGGCCCACAGCCACGCCGCGGGCGCTCGCTCGCACCACCGGCCCCTGATCAAGGAGGGCGGCGGTGCCGCCGGCGGTGGTGGCTACGGTGGCTACGGTGGCTCCGGTGGAGGCGGTGGTGGAGGCGGTGGAGGCGGTGGTGGAGGCGGTGGAGGCGGTGGTGGAGGCGGTGGAGGCGGTGGTGGAGGCGGTGGAGGCGGTGGTGGAGGTGGAGGCGGTGGAGGCGGTGGCGGCGACTGCGGCCGTCACGACTACGGCAAGAGGACGCGGGAACAGGCACAGCGCTGGGGCTGGGGAGCGGACGTGTGATGGGGGGTGGCGGTGGTGGTGGTGGTGGAGAGGGTGGAGGTGGTGGTGGAGGAGGTGGTGGAGAGGGTGGAGGTGGTGGAGGTGGTGGAGAGGATGGAGGTGGTGGGTGGAGGTGATGGGGGTGGTGGCGGCGGAGGAGAGGGTGGAGGTGGTGGAGAGGGTGGAGGTGATGGAGGCGAAGAGGGTGGAGGTGGTGGGTGGAGGAGGTGGTGGAGGAAGTGGAGGAGGCAAGGGTGGAGAGGGTGGAGGTGGATGGGGTGGTGGCGGGGGTAGAGGTGGTGGTGGAGAGGGTGGAGGAGGTGGAGGAGGCAAGGGTGGAGGTGGTGGTGGAGAGGGTGGAGGTGGAAGATGGGGTGGAGGTGGATGTAGCGGAGAGGGTGGAGGTGGATGGGGTGGAGGTGGTGGAGGAGGCAAGGGTGGTGGTGGTGGTGGATGGGGTGGAGAGGGTGGAGGCGATGGTGGTGGAGGCAAGGGTGGAGAGTGTGGAGGTGGAGAGGGTGGAGGTGGTGTTGGATAGGGTGGAGAGGGTGGAGGTGGAGGCAAGGGTGGAGGAGGTGGTGGATAGGGTGGAGAGGGTGGAGAGGGTGGAGAGGGTGGAGGTGGTGGTGGATAGGGTGGAGAGGGTGGAGAGTGTAGAGGAGGGGGTGGTGTAAGTGGTGGTGGTGGTAAGATTCATGCAGACCGGATCTCGGGGGTCTGAGAATCGGGGGTCTGAGAATCGGGGGTCTGGACACTCGGGGTCTGAGAATCGGGGGTCTGGACACTCGGGGGTCTGGACACTCGGGGGTCTGAGAATCGGGGGTCTGACACTCGGGGGTCTGGACACTCGGGGGTCTGAGAATCGGGGGTCTGAGAATTGGGGGTCTGGACACTCGGGGATCTGAGAATCGGGGGTCTGAGAATCGGGGGTCTGGACACTCGGGGGTCTGAGAATCGGGGGTCTGGACACTCGGGGGTCTGAGAATCGGGGGTCTGGACACTCGGGGGTCTGACACTCGGGGGTCTGGACACTCGGGGGTCTGGACACTCGGGGGTCTGAGAATCGGGGGTCTGAGAATCGGGGGTCTGAGAATCGGGGGTCTGGACACTCGGGGGTCTGAGAATCGGGGGTCTGGACACTCGGGGGTCTGAGAATCGGGGGTCTGGACACTCGGGGGTCTGGACACTCGGGGGTCTGAGAATCGGGGGTCTGGACACTCGGGGGTCTGTGAATCGGGGGTCTGGACACTCGGGGGTCTGAGAATCGGGGGTCTGAGAATCGGGGGTCTGGACACTCGGGGGTCTGGACACTCGGGGGTCTGAGAATCGGGGGTCTGGACACTCGGGGGTCTGGACACTCGGGGGTCTGGACACTCGGGGGTCTGAGAATCGGGGGTCTGGACACTCGGGGGTCTGACACTCGGGGGTCTGACACTCGGGGGTCTGAGAATCGGGGGTCTGGACACTCGGGGGTCTGAGACTCGGGGGTCTGGAAACCCGGGGGTCTGAGAATCGGGGGTCTGGACACTCGGGGGTCTGACACTCGGGGGTCTGACACTCGGGGGTCTGACACTCGGGGGTCTGAGAATCGGGGGTCTGGACACTCGGGGGTCTGAGACTCGGGGGTCTGGAAACCCGGGGGTCTGAGAATCGGGGGTCTGGACACTCGGGGGTCTGACACTCGGGGGTCTGAGAATCGGGGGTCTGGACACTCGGGGGTCTGAGAATCGGGGGTCTGGACACTCGGGGGTCTGACACTCGGGGGTCTGGACACTCGGGGGTCTGAGAATCGGGGGTCTGGACACTCGGGGGTCTGACACTCGGGGGTCTGGAGAATCGGGGGTCTGAGAATCGGGGGTCTGGGTGGGTGGCAATGTCCACGTTGTTGAGATGGTTAACGAGGTGATGATGAACCCACATTGCCCAAGTCTTCACACTCGGTGTTGGCGAATGCATAAGAAGTGAAAAACCGCGGGAAAAATTTATTTTTACTTGTTAATGTTTGGCATCAAAATCACCACCACGATCAGAGACATCATCATCATCACCACTGCTGACATCACCATCACCGTGATCATCATCACTGCCGTCTTCACCATCACTGGTGACATCACCATCCCTGGTGACATCACTATCACTGCCGTCATCACCATCACTGGTGATATCACCATCATTGACGACATAACCATCACTGCCGTCATCACCATCACTGATGACATCACCATCACTGATGACATCACCATGACTGCTGACATCACCATCACTGGTGACATCACCATCACTGCCGTCATCACCATCACTGATGACATCACCATCACTGGTGACATCACCATCACTGCTGTCATCACCATCACTGCCGTCATCACCATCACTGATGACATCACCATCACTGGTGACATCACCATCACTGCCGTCATCACCATCACGGCTGTCATCACCATCACTGGTGACATCACCATCACTGCTGACATCACCATCACTGCTGACATCACCATCACCGTGATCATCACCATCACTGCCGTCATCACCATCACTGCCGTCATCACCATCACTGATGACATCACCATCACTGATGACATCACCATCACTGATGACATCACCATCACTGATGACATCACCATCACTGATGACATCACCATCACTGATGACATCACCATCACTGGTGACATCACCATCACTGCCGTCATCACCATCACTGCCGTCATCACCATCACTGATGACATCACCATCACTGGTGACATCACCATCACTGCCGTCATCACCATCACGGCTGTCATCACCATCACTGGTGACATCACCATCACTGCTGACATCACCATCACTGCTGACATCACCATCACCGTGATCATCACCATCACTGCCGTCATCACCATCACTGCCGTCATCACCATCACTGATGACATCACCATCACTGATGACATCACCATCACTGATGACATCACCATCACTGATGACATCACCATCACTGATGACATCACCATCACTGATGACATCACCATCACTGATGACATCACCATCACTGGTGACATCACCATCACTGGTGACATCACCATCACTGGTGACATCACCATCACTGGTGACATCACAAACACCACCACCACTACATCAATCATCACCATCACAAACATCACCACCACATCAAACATCACCATCGTTATCACAAACATCATCAGAGACATCACCACCACAAACATCATCAGAGACATCACCATCACAAACATCATCACCACATCAAACATCACCATCACAAGCATCACCACCGCCATCATCACAAGTATCACCACTACAAACATCACCATCGCTATCACAGACATCATCAGACATCACCATCACAAGCATCACCACTACATCAAACATCACCATCACAAACATCATCATTACAAACATTACCATCACTATCAAAACATCATCATTACAAACATTACCATCACCATCACAAACATCACTATCACAAACATCACCATTACAAACATTACCATCACTATCACAAACATCATCAGAGACATCGCTATCACAAACATCAGAGACATCACCATCACAAACATCACCACCGCCATCATCACAAGCATCACCACCACCACTACATCACCATCACAAGCATCATCAGAAACATCACCATCACAAGCATCACCACCATCACAAACATCATCACCATCACAAACATCATCAGAGACAAGCATCACAAACATCACCATCGCTATCACAGACATCATCAGAGACATCACAAACATCACCACTACAAACATCACCATCGCTATCACAGACATCATCAGAGACATCACCATCACAAACATCACCATCACAGACATCATCACAAACATCACCACCATCACAAACATCATCAGACAGCACAAACATCACCACTACAAACATCACCATCGCTATCACAGACATCATCATCACAAGCATCACCATCAGAGACATCACCATCACAAACATCACCACCACATCAAACATCACCATCACAAGCAGCACCACCATCACAAACATCATCAGAGACATCACCACCACATCAAACATCACCAAAGTCTCTGTGAGTGCTTTTATATCGAGAAGCGTGTTGTAGATTGGAGCTCAAGCGTCCTTAACTTTGTCGCTGTGTCCACCCTGAACCATCCTGGGCCCTGACTGGGCACGTGGAGTGGGCTTGGTGGAGCGGTCCCCTCCCCTGGAGAGGTTCCCCATGGGATCCGTGCCGCTGGAATCTTCATGCGGAGGGCTGTGTGGTGGTGGTGAGTCTATGGGTCTCTTTGTGGTGGTGGTCAGTCTATGGGTCTCTTTGTGGTGGTGGTGAGTCTATGGGTCTGTGTGGTGATGGTGAGTCTATGGGTCTCTGTGTGGTGGTGGTGAGTCTATGGGTCTGTGTGGTGGTGGTGAGTCTATGGGTCTCTGTGTAGTGATGAGTCTATGGGTCTCTGTGTGGTGGTGGTGAGTCTGTGGGTCTCTTTGTGGTGGTGGTGAGTCTATGGGTCTCTGCGTGGTGGTGAGTACGGTGATGGTGAGTTTATGGGTCTGTGTGGTGATGAGTCTATGGGTCTGTGTGGTGGTGGTGAGTCTATGGGTCTCTGTGTGGTGATGAGTCTATGGGTCTCTGTGTGGTGGTGATGAGTCTATGGGTCTCTGTGTGGTGGTGAGTCTATGGGTCTCTGTGTGGTGGTGAGTCTATGGGTCTCTGTGTGGTGGTGATGAGTTTATGGGTCTCTGTGTGGTGGTGATGAGTCTATGGGTCTGTGTGTGGTGGTGGTGGTGAGTCTATGGGTCTCTGTGTGGTGGTGAGTCTATGGGTCTCTGTGTGGTGGTGGTGAGTCTATGGGTCTCTGTGTGGTGGTGAGTCTATGGTGGTGGTGAGTCTATGGGTCTCTGTGGTGGTGGTGAGTCTATGGGTCTCTGTGTGGTGGTGAGTCTATGGTGGTGGTGAGTCTGTGGGTCTCTGTGTGGTGGTGAGTCTGAGTCTCTGTGTGGTGGTGGTGAGTCTATGGGTCTGTGTGGTGGTGGTGAGTCTATGGGTCTCTGTGTGGTGA